CGAACCGTGGCACGTTCGATAATCGAAGGTGTTGCTGCGACACGTGTGCGTCTTGCAGCCGCTTGTTCTTACTTGCGTCCTTGAGTCGATCGATTCCTCGAACGAGAGACGCGCCAGTGACGAATATCGCTGGCAATCCGTGCTTACGAAGCCCAACCAGTGTCCCGATTCGATGTCAGCTCTAGGAATTAACGTATCAGGCTGGTGGAATTTAATTAACGCGATCTTGACCCGACAGACACCTCGACTCGCTCGTTAATTGATTTACGAGCACCCACTCGCGGTCTTCGTCAACCTGGCATACTTGGCCACCGACGATCTTCGTTCTTTACCATTTTTTACCGCGCGCCAGAGATTTAACGATTTGCTGGGCTTAAGTCTCGTTCGACTATGGGTTCACTGAGCGACCAGGCTTCGCGTTATTCTTTGATAAAGTCTCCGGTTGCAATGGCCGCCGTGTGATAACTCGAAATTAAAGCGTTTCTGATACCAGATTTACGAGCATCGAACTGAGAGCTCGTCGTTTGCGCCTGTCCACCGTGTAGCGGTACATGTGTAGAGGACAATTCAAATGATGTTGTTGTTTTGCCTCGGAGTATCAAGATCGTTAGGATACATGTAATGCAAGTGTTGCGTTCTATTTAGTTGCCGACGAGAAGGTAGCGTTAACTGACGTTTAATGCAACTGGCAATAAGCTCCACTTTCGGCTAACCTGCTATGTGCGGGAATACTGGCACGGGAGAGGATTAAAGTTGTTCGAAGGTAAATTTACAATGTGTAATAATTTATTCAAATCTTACCCGATCTCGATATTGACAATTGATTGACAGATTGACGGATATAAAATTCTTCGGTTGGCAAAGTGGTAATTCTTCGATTGACAAAATGTAATTCTTTGGTTGACAAAATGTAATTCTTCGGTTGACAAAATGGTAATTCTTCGGTTGACAAAATGGTAATTCTTCGGTTGACAAAATGGTAATTCTTCGGTTGACAAGATGATGATTCTTCGGTTGACAAAATGGTAATTCTTCGATTGACAAAATCATGATTCTTCGGTTGACGAAATGGTAATATTTCGATTGACAAAATGTAATTCTTCGGTTGACAAAATGGTAATTCTTCGGTTGACAAGATGATGATTCTTCGGTTGACAAAATGGTAATATTTCGATTGACAAAATGTAATTCTTCGGTTGACAAAATGGTAATACTTCGATTGACAAAATGTAATTCTTCGGTTGACAAAAAAGTGATTCTTCGGTTGACAAAATGGTAATTCTTCGGTTGACAAAATGATGATTCTTCGGTTGAAAAAATGGTAATTCTTCTAATTAAGAATCCGTTCGGCGTTTTTGTTTCAGATGACCAGAAGGGTTGAAATCATGCACACTAGGACACCCTTCTTTTTTGGACCACTCACTTTGCCAGCTCATAACTTTGCGAATTTTGAGTTTTTCTTTCGATTAATTTTTTATGTAATCTTAAAATATCAATAAACGAATGATAAAAAAATGGATAGTAAAAATATTTTTTGTTTCGTTTGTATAGAGCTTCAAAAACCGTCCGAAATTCATGCCTCTAGACTAGAATACCCCCTTAAGTAGGGCCATGATGCAAATGTGTTAAATATATTCGACGGTTTCAACAACAAGCAATAACATTTAATAAATCGCACGATCAAACATCCTCTATACGCGTCCTGTACAACCGTATTACTACAAATTTACCATAAATTTTCCTTTCTTGCCATCGTCGATTGGTGAAAAGTCAATCGCTTGTCTTGTCACCGATAGAATCGATCGGAGCAAGATATTAAAATTATTGAGATATGTATAATTTTATTTGCTAGACTAGGTTAGCTGCGTAGTAGTGATACTTGTATGTGAATATCAGTGTGTGAAAGTATGTGTGTCTGGAAAACAAATGAATGTAAACTGTTCAGTTAACAGTCTGATATGAAAGAAAGTGCCGAGACGCGTGCAAGTGCGTATCGATGAATATCTTTGAAATCGTTCATCAAATAAATATATAACTATTCTAATGTTAGATCTACGTGTAAATTTAGTGTTCCTATACCATTATTTCGGCTATTACCCTTCTTTTTTGGACCACTCACTTTGCCAGCTCATAACTTTGCGAATTTTGAGTTTTTCTTTCGATTAATTTTTTATGTAATCTTAAAATATCAATAAACGAATGATAAAAAAATGGATAGTAAAAATATTTTTTGTTTCGTTTGTATAGAGCTTCAAAAACCGTCCGAAATTCATGCCTCTAGACTAGAATACCCCCTTAAGTAGGGCCATGATGCAAATGTGTTAAATATATTCGACGGTTTCAACAACAAGCAATAACATTTAATAAATCGCACGATCAAACATCCTCTATACGCGTCCTGTACAACCGTATTACTACAAATTTACCATAAATTTTCCTTTCTTGCCATCGTCGATTGGTGAAAAGTCAATCGCTTGTCTTGTCACCGATAGAATCGATCGGAGCAAGATATTAAAATTATTGAGATATGTATAATTTTATTTGCTAGACTAGGTTAGCTGCGTAGTAGTGATACTTGTATGTGAATATCAGTGTGTGAAAGTATGTGTGTCTGGAAAACAAATGAATGTAAACTGTTCAGTTAACAGTCTGATATGAAAGAAAGTGCCGAGACGCGTGCAAGTGCGTATCGATGAATATCTTTGAAATCGTTCATCAAATAAATATATAACTATTCTAATGTTAGATCTACGTGTAAATTTAGTGTTCCTATACCATTATTTCGGCTATTACGATCCAAAATTCTCAACACACCTAATAATATTTGATAGAGTTTATGACCGGATTAGAGTTATGACTGGGAACGTGTTTAGTTAACTTGCGCGCGGTTGCTCTGTGTGCAAAAAAGTGACTTATAACGTCGAATACACAAGAGAAAAGGATGAAAATTTTCGTTGAAACTGCTTGTTAACCCTTTGCACTCCTTTGTCGAGTGTTTCTCGACATTAATTTTTATCTCAGGAGCTCCTTTATCGAATCTCACTCGACGTTCTTTCGTGTCCACCAATTTCTGTGAAACGTGCGAAAGCAAAGCAGGATTGGAAATTGTTTCAAGATATATGATACACTTAAAAATTGCAAAATACAACAATGGTATAAAACTGGTATTTAAGTGAATTTCTTTCTTCCTCTATTTATTTGAATTGTCTTATTTCTTAGTTAAAGTAAATTTTAAACAAAACACTTAAAAGCTGCTGGCAACGAAATTGATATAAAATTCGCAGTGCAAGTGTGTATCGATGAATATCTTTGAAATCCTTCAGCAAATAAATAAATAACTATTCTAATACAAATTCTATGCGTAAATTTAGTCTTCCTATGCCATTATTTCGGTTATTAAGATCCAAAGTTCTCAAGAAAAATACGGTGGATCGAGCGCGCCAACCAACGATCCATTTGAATTTGTAAGCGAGCTCGGTGCATGGTGCGTTATCACGCAGGCTGCGTTTCCTACGTAATATCGATGCGGTTGGCCGATGAGGGAATTTCACGCTCAGCGCGTCGCCCTTGATAATACGAACAGGCGAATCGGAACTGGTCTTCGATACCGCGGAGAAATCGCGTCTCGTAAATTTCGTTCGATCGCCAACAATCTTTCGAGATTTCGTAAACGGTCGTGCGAGTGTCCGCGACAAAATTCGTGGCGAAACGCCGAACCAAAACAACAATCGCGATCGTGATATCGTTCGCTCGTGCAGGTTTCAGTTGGGAAAGCGCCCGACGATTGTACAGCGACCGGTAAACTTTCCTTTACGTTCATATGTAGGCTGAGCCAGCTAAAACGGAAGATGTAAATGTGTCTGCTACTATGGCAGACAGTAAAAAATGTCAGAGAGGAACTTTGTGCAGTTCAATGGGACGAATATGACGATACCGACAGATGGCCTGGTTCGCGTTATCTTCGAGGTCTTGCAAAGGTCGTCGATGGATTTTTAAATGTTCTAGGAATCTTTGAATTCATTTGGTAGCAGCTGACGTAAAGACTAGCTCAACGATGTAGGATATTACGACAGAAATCTGTGCACGATCGAACGAAAATATCGACGATGCAAAGTTTGCGTTCCCCGGTCGTTAGATTTCGTTCGTGTCAACAGCGAAAGGCGATCTCTATACGTGTACCAACACGATTATCGATGAACTACAGGTATACGCAAGATTTCATCGTCGTCGAATCATCGCGACAACGTATCAGTTCATCGATGTACTTTCGATAACGCATGGAGGAAACGTTGTCGGTGCAAACAGGCGCGACTCCTGCAACACGTTGGCGACTTTCGCGACAATTTGGAAATCAGCATCTAATCGTCTCCTCCTTCGAGCGACGCGCCGTTAAGCATAAGATACATCTGATACATTGCCACGATAATTCGACGACGATACACGTACACTGGAGGCGAGCTGATCGCACATTGTCGGTTCTCAATTAGAAGCCGACGAAGCGATTAGCGGCGCGAGCCAGCCGTGACAAGCGAACGTACATACGTTGCAACAACTTTATGGCACGCTCTAAGCGCAGTGTCGTGAATTCCAAGCGTCGCTACGAACAAATAAATTACGTATTGTTCTTTCTTTCTGTTAAGTCGACCCGCTAGGTTCAACACGTTCACACGGAAAGAAGAAACGAAAGACTCGATAGCGAGCTTCGACTAGAAAAGAAGAAACGAAGGATTCGATCGCGAGTTTCGACCGAGAAGAAGAAACGAAAGACTCGATCTTCATCTGAAAAGAAGAAACGAAAGACTCGATCGCGAGCTTCGACTAGAAAAGAAGAAACGAAGGGTTCGATCGTGAGCTTCGACCGAAAAGAAGAAACGAAGGATTCGATCGCGAGTTTCGACCGAGAAGAAGAAACGAAGGATTCGATCTCAAATTTCGACCGAAAAGAAGAAACGAAGGATTCGATCGCAAGTTTCGACCGAAAAGAAGAAACGAAGGATTCGATCGCAAGTTTCGACCGAAAAGAAGAAACGAAGGATTCGATCGCAAGTTTCGACCGAAAAGAAGAAACGAAGGATTCGATCGCAAGTTTCGACCGAAAAGAAGAAACGAAGGATTCGATCGCAAGTTTCGACCGAAAAGAAGAAACGAAGGATTCGATCGCAAGTTTCGACCGAAAAGAAGAAACGAAGGATTCGATCGCAAGTTTCGACCGAAAAGAAGAAACGAAGGATTCGATCGCAAGTTTCGACCGAAAAGAAGAAACGAAGGATTCGATCGCAAGTTTCGACCGAAAAGAAGAAACGAAGGATTCGATCGCAAGTTTCGACCGAAAAGAAGAAACGAAGGATTCGATCGCAAGTTTCGACCGAAAAGAAGAAACGAAGGATTCGATCGCAAGTTTCGACCGAAAAGAAGAAACGAAGGATTCGATCGCAAGTTTCGACCGAAAAGAAGAAACGAAGGATTCGATCGCAAGTTTCGACCGAAAAGAAGAAACGAAGGATTCGATCGCAAGTTTCGACCGAAAAGAAGAAACGAAGGATTCGATCGCAAGTTTCGACCGAAAAGAAGAAACGAAGGATTCGATCGCAAGTTTCGACCGAAAAGAAGAAACGAAGGATTCGATCGCGAGTTTCATCCGAAAAGAAGAAACGAAAGACTCGATCGCGAGCTTCGACCGAAAAGAAGAAACGAAATACTCGATCGCGAGCTTCGACTAGAAAAGAAGAAACGAAGAATTCGATAAAAGAAGAAACGAAGGATTCGATCGCAAGTTTCGACCGAAAAGAAGAAACGAAGGATTCGATCGCAAGTTTCGACCGAAAAGAAGAAACGAAGGATTCGATCGCAAGTTTCGACCGAAAAGAAGAAACGAAGGATTCGATCGCAAGTTTCGACCGAAAAGAAGAAACGAAGGATTCGATCGCAAGTTTCGACCGAAAAGAAGAAACGAAGGATTCGATCTCAAATTTCGACCGAAAAGAAGAAACGAAGGATTCGATCGCGAGTTTCATCCGAAAAGAAGAAACGAAAGACTCGATCGCGAGCTTCGACCGAAAAGAAGAAACGAAGGATTCGATCGCGATGCGTTCTCGATGGCCGAAGTTCCAGGAACACGAGAACAGGCAAAAAGAGGAAAGGCGAGGCCCGGTGCCGCGAATCCGGCGCGGGAATCTCGATTCCAGCAATTAATTACGACGTAGCGAGACGCGACACTTCATCGACGTCCTGTCAGCGATTCTTTCCGGCTCGGTCGACGCCAATTGCGCGTTAAGCGGAGGGCCTTGTTTTTTCCCAGCAGGACCAAGCAGCGCTTCTTAGGATCGTCTGGTTATGCACGCGTCGGCGGACCGCGTGCATGCAGCTTCCTTTGCGCATGTTCCCGGAACACGCCCTCCGGTTCCTTCTTCATTTTCTTCCCTTTTGCCCGTCGTAAATGGAACGTGCACTGGTATCGTGGGTGGTAGCGCGAGGATCGAACCGCGTTTCGGAGGTCGACGCGAACTTGGCCGATTCCATCTATTTTGAAAAAAAAAGGCAGAGCTGTGCACGTTTTCGATCGGAACGACGCGAGACAAAAACGAGCCGAGGTCTGCTGTCGGT